TTTCATTCGGACGTCTTGTTTTTATTTTTGTTGTTGTATGTCGAACATGGGCCGGCCAGTGTCTGTCACGTAAATAATGCGGTCGGCAACATAGGGCTATGATTCCACAGCTAATGGAAGGTGAGACAATGTTAGCGAATCGATCGAAAAATACTATAATTTGTGTAACATTCTTACCGGACATTCCTAGCATTGAGATCGAGTTACAAGACCGAAAGTTACTTTATTTACTTTTTCACTTTAATTCAGAAATTTCGATGAAAATAAATAGTCATTTTGTGTCGTCATAAACGTCAACATGCGGGTTTGCATGATGAGCACGGGAGATTACTTCATAATAATATTGATTGGCATAGAGTTTTTTTCTGAGAAATTTCCCGTGAAAATTTATTCACAGGATGACTTGTGTTCTAGGCAGTGAACTTAATGAACTTTTGAATGATGACTATTTTCCCCACTGTTAACAATGTGAGCTTATCATGAATATGTTTAATTAATACTGAGTTATTCAAATAAAGGTTCTGGTGTCTACATTGCATATTTTGTTGTGATGTTTTGTTGTACCATCATAAATGGTACAGTAAAACCTGTCAAAACCGACCATGACTGGGACTGGGATCTATGGTCGGTTTTCAGAGGGAGTCGGTTTATTCAGGGTGGGCATAACTTCGATTGAAACAACAATTACATGTGCTGTAAACACGGGACAAATGAAAGACACCGGAGTTTGCCTCCGGTGATTATACATGTATTTACATTTATTGTATTGTTTCAATAAAATAATTTACCAAACAAGACAAGAATATTATGGTATGTACATGAAATCAATAAACATTAAAATAACTGTTGGAACAGACCGGGTAAGTATCGCGTATCGTAACTGAAGGCGTCCATTTTGAATGACATCACAACGTAAGTTCACGTGAGCTACATGTAATTATTATAATTTATGCAGACAGTTGATTTTGCTGTTAAGTCAATGAATCAAATTACGATGTAAAAAAATCATCAAGTTTTCACCGCTTTAAAGAACATCTTTTTTCAACGATTTTGTTCGTTCGAATTATGAAATTTTGGATATCTGTCAAGTAGCTGGAGTCTTTGTTTATTGCGAAGTTTTGTAATCTTGTCAACATGTCTAGCACATCGCCATGCGTCAAGTCACGGTCATCGT